TCTTTATTAAATAATTACAGACCAATCTCTATACTGCCTACTTTCTCTAAAATACTTGAAAAAATAGTTTACAATAGATTATACGAGTATCTCCTTCAAAATAACCTCTTAAACAAAAAACAATTCGGGTTTCAAACAAAACACTCAACCGAACATGCTATTTTAGATCTTGTAAATAGCATGAGTAATTCTTTCAATAAAAAGCAACTTGTGTTAGGGACTTTTATAGATTTATCTAAAGCGTTCGACACAGTTAATCACAATATCTTACTTAAAAAAATGGAAAGATATGGTGTCAAAAATATATCCCTTGACTGGTTCAAAAGATACCTGAGTAGCAGAAAACAATGCGTTGTTACAGATCTTAATAAATTTTCAGACCTACTAGAAATAAAATGCGAAGTTCCCCAAGGTTCCATTCTAGGTCCCCTTTTATTTCTAATATATATCAACGATCTTCCAAAAGCCCTAAAAAAACTTGATGTAATAATGTTCGCTGACGATACAAATTTATTTTACTCACCGCCGTCTATAAGCGATCTTTACGAATCTATGAACACTGACCTCGAAAACCTCAACATCTGGTTTAAAGTTAATAAATTATCCTTGAATACAGATAAAACAAAATATATCTTGTTTCACTCCAACCGTCTTAAAAATTTTATACTAGACACTCTACCTTCACTAAAAATTGATAACATAAACATCAAAAGAACTGAAATAACTAAGTTTCTTGGAATAATTATTGACCAGAATATTAATTGGAAAGCCCATATTATTATAATAAACACAAAAATATCAAAAAGTATCGGCGTACTCTACAAAGCCAAACCTATGCTTTCCCAAGACAACCTTAAAATTCTCTTCTTTTCTTATATTCAAAGTTACCTAATATACGCTAATATTGCATGGGGAAGTACCCTTAAAACTAAATTAAATTCACTCTACAAACATCAGAAACATGCATCGAGATTAATTTATAATAAAAAGAAATTCACTCATGCCGACCCTTTACTTAAAAATTTGAATGCATTAAATATCTATCAAATAAATATTTACCAAAATATCTTATTCATGCTAAAATACAAACTCGGACTTGTTCCGAAATACTTTACTGATAGCTTTTTTCATATCAACGCAAACAAATACATCACACGAGAAACAGGCAACTTCACCCTGCCTTTAAAAAAAAAACAAAATTCTCGCGATTTTCTTTAATATACCGTTTTATTAAGTTATTATTTTGTTATGTAAGTATGGACTTACATAACAAAATAATAACTTAATAAAATGGATAACCTTATTGCTCTGAAAAAAAAACTAAAACATATCATAATTAACTTAACCAACTTCATCGAAATGTATTAAACAATTTGTGAAAAATAGTAATAATAAAAGCCCTACTACTTCTACTATATAGTAGATACCAAAATACTTATGTGTATTTGTTGAACTAGTTCATTAAAGTTTATTTTATGTTTTAAAGGTTCTCGATGAAAAGACTATTTTAGTCTTCTGCGAGTTTCCTTACAACAAAAAAAAAAAAATATTTTGAGGCTATATGGAGACTGCCCATATAGTCTACAGTCGGTTTTGTAAAATGATTTAAAATTATTACGTATGATGAGACAGTTAGTTGAAAAGCTCCATCATAAGAAATAACTTAAAATCATTTTACAAAATCTTTAAAAAGAAAAAAAGGAAAAATTTCATTTGGATCATTTTTTATATTGCAAAAAAACGCTTCACTTAATAATATATTTTAGATAAATATATTATTAAATTAATTTAATAATATATTTTAGATTAGCAGTTTTGAAAATGATTTCTATTACTAAATTGTAATAGAACATCATCAAACACCCATTTTAATGGAAGAAAATAAAAAAAAAATTGTTGTATCACTCTCATTTTTCACGAGCATTTTCTTTTTAGTATTAAATCACTGGTTTTCAAAACTTAGTTAAAATATATATGTTTATCAACAATAGTGAATTAATTTTCTATAGTGAATCGCACCAAAAAAAAATTATCTGGCGCTCAATTTAAGAAGAAAAGAAAACAGCGCCTAGAAGGTGATGAAAAACTACAATATTGTTTCAAGAAGTGGTTGGTAACTAACTCTGCAGAGGAGATACAAATTATTTCAGAAGATAATAGTATTGAAGTTAATGAAAGTTCAACAGATAAAGTTTTTCAAACAGTTCAAATTAATTACTTAAGTTCAGATCATAGTTTGGAATTAATTGGAGACAAGGACCCAGATAGCACCATTACGTTGATCTAATGTTGTCGAAAACATCGGATAATATACCGATGACGCGCCAACATTGGTTTAACGTCGAACTACTTGTTGGATATTGATCGAAAAGCCAATATCGAAACAACGTCGGCTAATAACGTTAAGCAAACATCGAATCTCCATTTAAATTATACATATAAAAAAGGCCGCATTTTATAATATGGCACATTATTATTTAAATTGTAAAAAACAAATGCTGTAGATACTCTTAACTATTTTTTGCATATTGTACATATTTTTATATACATTTGCACTATCAAATATTTTTATATACATTTACATTATAAAATATCTATTAATATTGCTTAGTTTATAAATTTACTTATCAATAATTTATTACTAGTGACACTAGTAATAAATTATTGATAAGTAATTATTGATAAATAATTATTGATATATTGATAATTATTGATATATCTCAGAAGTATTTATATTTCTAGAAATATTTTAGCACGTTTAAATAATCAGAGTTCTGCTTATGTTTTTCCATTGTGAAGGTTATATAATTCTCTGTGAGTATATATATATATATATATATATATATATATATATATATATATATATATATATATATATATATATATATATATATATATATATATATATATATATATATATATATATATATATATATATATATATATATATATATATATATATATATATTCCTAATGACCCAAGAACACTTTTAAAAACCCCAAGAAATGTAAATGTTCGAAAACTTCGAAATGGTGGAGAATATGCTCATTTAGGTTTAGAAATTGGAATTAAAGAAACAATTAACAATTGTTTACTTGACTGTCTAAGTTTAAGTATCTTGGAAATCCAATTAAAGCAAAGCCAGCAAGTGCAGAGGAGTTTTTTGAAGATTTAGTTGCAGAAACTTTCCTTCTTCTTCAAAATGGATTACTTATTAATGGAAAGCGCTTTTATATAAAAATTCATTCATTTGTTTGTGATGCCCCGCACGCGCATTTGTTATAGGAGTTAAGTCCCATTCCGGATACAATTCATGTGAAAAATATGATCAACATGGGGAATATGTAGGTAAAGTTATTTTGCCACAAACAGATGCTCAATTAAGGACAGACAAAACATTCAATGAAAGGCGTGATGCAGCCCATCATACTAGTCTTTATTCCTTAAGATTACTTAAAATAGGGGGTGTCAGCCAGTTCGGATTGGATTTTATGCACTTGGGTTGCCTAGGAGTGATGAGAAGATTTTTACTTTATTGGAAAGGCCCTATTAGTCGACTACAAGTTCGCCTAGGTCCTCGAGAAGTTATCAAGTTGTCAAATAAATTACTGAGTTTTGTTGCTTACATTCCTTGGAAGGCAACAGAATTTAGACTTTTTTTATTATATTTAGGTCCAATAGCATTGTCTAATATATTACCAGAGCCTCTTTTAAAGGATTTCATGATGTTACATGTTGCATGTCGAATTTTAACAAGTCGTCAACTTAAAAGAAACTGGGATTATGCTAACCAACTTTTAGTTAATTTTGTTGGTAAGGCATCTACTTTATATGGTCGTGAATGCTTTGTTTACAATGTGCATTTTTTAGTGCATTTAGCTGCTGATGTAAACAATTTAGAGCCATTAGAAAATTTTAGCAGCTTTCCATTTGAAAATATGCTTGGCAGTTTAAAAAGACTAATCAGAAAACCTAACCAGCCTATACAGCAGCTAGTAAAGCGGTTAGCAGAAAAACAGTTACTTCAAAAAAATCTTACAAGTAATGCAAAATGCAAATATTCAAAGTTAACTCAACCACACTTTGATGGGCCACTTTTGATATCTGATGATTTTATTGGAAAACAATTTTTAAAACTTCAAACTCTAAAATGGCATTTTTCAACATCTGATGGCAATAATTGTTTTATGCTTAAAAATGGAAACATGATTTTAGTTAGAAATATTCTTGAAGTTGCTGGCCATGTAAGTTTATTGTGCCAACAGTTTAACAAAACTTTTGATGCATTTATATCTCCGATGCCTTCTTCAAAAGTAAATATTCTAAAAGCTTTTAATAATGATTTTTCAGCATTATGCGAATACCAGCTTGCTGATATTGCTTGTAAATGCATCTGTGTTCCTGATGTAAATGATACTTATTTTATTACTCTATTTCTTCATTCTTTTTCACATTTATCAGAGATGATAAATAACTTTTGATTAGTATTGAAAAATAACTGACCGAAACTCATTTTAATGATTAAGATCGAAAATGTGATTTTCAGATTAATATCGAAAAGTTTTTATATCGAAATTCACAAATTTAGAACAATATCGAAAACAATAAAAACGGAATAAGATCGAAAACTCATTTAACTGATTAACATCGAAAATTTGATTTTCTGATTAATGTCGAAAGGTTTTTATATCGAAATTCACAAATGTGGAACAATATCGAAAACAATAAAAAAGGAATAAGATCGAAAACTCATTATTATGATTAACATCGAAAATAAGATTTTCTGATTAATATCGAAAACAATAAAAAAGGAATAAGATCGAAAACTCATTTTAATGATTAACTTTGAAAACGTGATTTTCCGATTAATGTCGAAAACAATAAAAAAGGAATAAGATCGAAAACTCATTTTAGCGATTAACATTAAAAATAAGATTTTCTGGTTAATGTCGAAAACAATAAAAACGGAATAAGATCGAAAATTTTTTATCTTTGGGAATATCTGTTCCAGCTGTATGCGCTTTAATGACATCGAAATCCGAGGCTCTTTACTAGCTTGTTTTTTCCAAAATAAAAGAAGTTTTAGATTTCTCTCCAGTCACCATTATGTCAGATTTTGAACGAGGACTACAGAATGCTTTAAAAACAACTTGGAGTGAAAGCTTGGTGAATGGTTGCAGGTGTAAGTTATTATTTTGTTATAACTTAGTTTCTAGTTTCTAAGTTACCCAAGTTTTTCAGAGTTTGTTATCAATTAATGATCTCCTTTAAACCTTTATCTTTAGGTTTCATTTCGAAAATGCAACCACCAAGCAATTAGCAATTCTTGGTTTTCAGAGGGAATACCGCCACCAAATTCAAGTAAAGAAGTGGGCACGAAAAGCTTCAGCACTTTGTCTTCTTCCTGCAAACAAGATCTTGGTTGCAATTGCAGTTATTGAGATTGCACAATTTAGTCGCGAAATCAAAATCAAACTACTTGCTTTTAAAAGGTATTTTGAGAGTTATTGGCTCAATATAGTGACCCCAGAAGGATTCAGTGTTTATGACTTGAACCACAAAACCAATAACAATGCAGAGAGTCTCAATAGACGTTTGAAATCAAACACGGGTGATCGACATGTAGGATTTTGACAGTTTATGAAATTGCTTAACCAGCATGTAATAGTCCATACAATTCAAGAGCTTCAACAGCTTGCCTGCAATCAGCCAGTCCGCCGTGACCAACGGTTAGTTTAACTTTATTTGATAATATGTTATTTTCCATGAAATATGGAAAATTGTATTTGAAGTTTTTAAATATTTTTAGTACTTTTAATGGATGAAAACTCAATGAACGAGGTTGGTGAGAGTCTTCCTTTGCCAACTTCTACTTCAACAGAGTCACCAAAGTGCGTTGTTTGTACCGTCAATGAACGAAATGCATTAGTAATGTCTTGCAGACATTTTTTGTTTTGTCAGCCCTGCATTCAACAAGTCCAAAAAAGCAACACAGCTCATTGTCCCACTTGCCGAGGACCAATATCATCTATAATTGAATCTTTTCAACGATTCAGTAAAATTTTCCCTTTTACCTATATTTTAAAAACTAGAATGTCACACAATTGTTTAAATTTATTTAAAAAAATTTATTATATAAAAGCGGTATAATTTTTTTCCTATTGCTCCGCCTGGAATAAAAAATAATCAATAACGTCAGTTATTGATTTTAGTTTAGTTTACATAAAAATTCCATTTGGGGCTACAAGATTTTCCGTAAGTTGGCGTATTGTATTGAGCAAACCCCATATTACGTTAAGGATAAGTACTAAATAAATTCCATCAACCTAGAAACAATAGTCATTTACATGTTAAAGTTATTGTATAGATAAATGTAGCATAAAATTCTACAGCTGCTTGTCTAGCAAATTAAATAAGTTTCCTTGAAGCAAGTGACAGTATCAACAAAAGACTTATCGTGAGGGTTACTATGTTACGATTAGCACTTTCGTGTTCACAAGCGTGTTAGAAGCAACTTTTTGCTTTTAACTTTTTTTAACTAGGTTTTAACTTGTCTAGCCAGCTTTTAACTTATTCAACTAGGTTAAAACTAAGAAGAAGAAAAGGAGTGCTAAAACATTTTGGGGCGGGATCATAACTTGTTACAGTCAACAAAAAAATATATAAAAATTAAACAAAAAAATATATAATCGGAAAGAGCTCGTCAAAAAGTATGTGAAAACCATGTGAAGACCAGCACAAAACAGCTATAAAAAAGGATTTTTCATCCTTAACTTGCTTTATAATAAATATGCATTTTGTTTAAAAAGTTGCTATTGATATAAATTTTCTATTAAAAGCTAGTTTCTATTTAATTTATCACGTCCTTACTGTTGGTAGGGGTGGGGAAAGGGAGGAGATAATCGTGAGCAATTGACATCTTTTTTTTGACCGAATGCTCTTAGTTTCACGTTATAAAAATTAATTAAGATTTTCTATTCTTGACCACAATTTCCTCCGAAACGATCAACCTAACCTCAAAATCTTTACGATATGGGCTTGTATATTTATAGAAGATTATTGATTGTACTTTTTATAAAAAGAACAATCAATAACCTTCTATACATAAAATAATTTGTTAGAAGATAAGTAATTTTACTAATCTTCATATATTTTATTCACTAATATATTTTGATATTTTTTTTTTTTATAAAGTAAGTGTTTAATAGTTCTTTTTGGAATTTTATGTTTTGCTTATATAAACTTCATATATTTTATTCACTAATATATATACTAATAATTCTTCAAGTTAGTCGAGTTTCCTAAAACGCCTTACAAAATTTTTTATGAATATAATTTGCGAATAATATATTAACAAATATAATTGAACATGGGCTACGGCATTGGGGGTATATCTACATTGGCTACGTCATGGGGGGAGGGGTCAAGGAGGCATTTTCCCTCCACCTCCATCAGAATTTGTAGTGAGGACGATTTTTTTTTTGTAAAGTAAGTGTTGAATAGTTCTTTTTGGAATTTTATGTTTTGCTAACATAAAATATTTAGTTAACATTCAAGGCAGTGCACAGTGGGCCAGCAGTGAGCAAAAATTAAAAAAATGAGCAAAACCAACCTTTAACAATTCAAAATTTTTTAATCTTTTTTGAAAGTGAGTAACCTGAAGAAAATTTAAATGGTTGTAATATTATGTTTTAGTAAATAGAATTATTGTTAAATTGATTTTATATTGTTAATATTGTTAAATTGATTTTATATGTAGCTATTAATTTTGATCAGTTTTTCATGTTTCTGGCCCACTGAGCAGTGGGCCTAAAATCATTTTGTTAAAAAATCACTAAAGGGCAAATGTTTTCAAGCATTTAAACAAAGGCGAACCTTTTTATATTTCCAAAAGATGTCACTAATATTTCTATGATACAACACGTTATCTATGATAAAAACAACATTGTTGTTGCAAATGATAAATAACACTATTTATAACTGCGTCACTTGGATTTGATTTACAATTTAAGCGGATAAAGAAACTTGAAAATAAGTGAAGTTTGAACTGTATTTTATGAAGTGCACCACTTTTGTGAAATATTATGTTCCTAGTTTGTCATTAACATGGATTTGTGAGTTTTTCATACTTCGCTTTAACGCGTTGCAACGCGTAAAATTAAAATATAATAAAGTTCGAGTATAGTGTGACTCTTTGTTCACATTTCCATGTTAACGACAAAACTATTTGCATGATATTTCATAATATTGGTGGTGCACTTCATAAAATAGAGTTCAAATTTTACTTATTCAGGGTTTGAGCTATTACTGAAAAATTTTCAGAATTTTTTTTTGCTTATTGTTATAAGTTTAACGTCATGGCTCCCGGCCCTAAATGAGAAAAATGTTTCTTCTTAGATTTTTACATATATTCTTGATATTTATAAATGTAAATGAATCTTTACTCTGACAGTTTGAAAAACGTCTTTTTCTTTAACTTGAGTTAATTTTTGTAGTTTTAACAGAGTTTTTTTTAACTCTTGGCCCAATTTGCCCCAAAATGGGAAAACGGGCTTTGTGTATTTTTACATTTTTACCCTATTGTCTTGAATGGGCGATTGGGCCAAGAACAATTAAAGTTCTGTAGAAGAAATTAGACCTAATATTTTTACCTATTTTCTTGTTATTTATAAATGTTAATGAATTTGTTTACCCTGACCGTTTGAAAAAACTCTTATTTCTTTATCTAAAGTTAATTTTTACGGTTTAAACGAAGCTTATATAGATTTTGATCCAATTGCCCCAAATGGGTAAACGAGGAGTGGAATTCTTACCTAGGGGCCCCTAATATGAGAATGATAATTTGTAGAATTGAATGCTTTAGTAAAAAAAAAAAAACAATAAAAATAATTCAGCATAAGTACTTCAATGAAATTCCTTCTTGATGGCATATGAAAAATAAATTTATTATCAAATTTAGTGCCATAATTCCTTTAGAAAAACTCAACAAATCTTGACGCAAAATAGGCGTTATTGAGCCCAACATAGATTGTCATAACTTGGGAACCAGTTATCCAAATTTAAAAGATGAACACATTCTGAAAGCTTGTTCATTATCCGCATATAATGGTATTAATTATAACAAGAGATAATTGTAATAGTAAAGTCGTGTGATGTGCTTACTGTAAATAAAATCAATAAATTTTGTTTTGAATCGTTTTATAAATAGCCAACAACACAACATTCAATATTTTTTGTTCTACTAATAGAGCTTTTTGTTTATATTATACAACTATACAGTGTAATTACTACACTTTAATTAAAAACCGCAAAAAACCGCAAAAAACTGCCGTCTATTTATTCTGCTTTTGGAATTTTCAAACCTATTATTAAAATTCACCTTTTCGATATTATTCTGGAAAGTCCTTTTTCGATTTTATTCCTTTTTTCACAGTTTCGATATAATTTCGGAAAGTCCCGTTTCGATATTGTTCCTTTTTTTACAATTTCGATCTAATTCCGTTTTTTGAAATTTCGATACTATTCCTTTATTCACACTTTCGATATTGTTCCGTAAGTCTTTTTTCAATATTATTCTCTTTTGAGCTGTTTCGACATTATTCTGCTTTTAGGATTTTCGATACTAATCCTTTTTTAACAAATTTGAAATGTTTTCTTTTTCGATATTATTCGAAAAGTCCCTTTTCGATATTATTCCTTTTTTCACAATTTCGAGGTTATTCTATTTTTCGGATTTTCGATACAATTCCTTTTTTTACAATTTCGATGTTATTCTCTATTTCGATGTTATTCTGGAAATTCCATTTTCGAGATTAATCAGTTTGGCTGTTTTCGATACTGTTACTGCTACCCTTTGAAATTATGTATTAAGTTTGTTACTGTAATATTTTTAATAAATTATTTATTTAAATAATAATTTATTTGACTTTTAAAGTAAAATAAATGAACTCTTTGAAAGTGTGTGTTTTGATTTTGCCTACAACCAGTGTATAACAGTTTATTTATATATTTTTTTCACTTTTTGTATTGTATTTGACTATATGATATTAAAAGTGTGTTTGTGAGCAGTGAGCAATTTCAGTTAAGCAATTGATTTTTTTAATTGTTCTAATAATATTAAATGAAAAATAAAAAATGCTTGATCTCAAAAAAAAGGTTGAGAAAAGAAGAAAATAAAAATAGCTCTATGCTTAATGCTCATAACAAGGTTTTTATATATAATTTTATATATATAAAAACCTTGTTTATATATATATATATATATATATATATATATATATATATATATATATATATATATATATATATATATATATATATATATATATATATATTCAGAGTTTTGCATTTCTATAACTTGATCTTGAAAATCAGTTGGGTTGTAGGGAAAGGGAATAGCTGCAATGTCGTTTTGAAAAATGATGTCTTTTCAAAGGGGGGTAATGTCTTTTTGAAAAATGGAGATATGATAGGCTCAGTGTCTAAGTTATTGTAAAAATCTAGTAGATTTTTTTTTCTTTCTTTTGATCATCAATGATTGTGGTTGAAATTTTTGACTGATGGTTGCTTTGATTTTTATTGGCGTTCTTTCTCTTTTGATCAAGGTCTAGCTAGTGTTTTAGGCGCGCGCCTTTCACAAACCTTATGAACTTGTTTGTTGGTTTCATTGTTGAAGGTATCGGGTTGTTCTTTACACATGGTCTGCTCATCGTTTTTCTTTGTA